AACCAAGGTCTTTGAGTCTTTGATAAACAAATTTCTCACATCCCATTTTGAGTCAAATAACTTACTGTCAGACATTCAATATGGTTTTCGATCCTCTTGCTCTATGGCTGACTTGCTAACTGCTATGACTGAAAGATTTTATTGTGCTTTAAATGGAGGCGGAGAGGCTAGGGCAATTACTTTTGACATATATAAAGCATTTAGCAAAGTTTGGCAATAGGTCTTCTATAAGCTCTATAAGTTTGTTTCATATAGTCTGGAAAAGTTTTTGAGATTATCAAATCGTTTCTTTCTAACAGCTTTATTTCATTTTAAAGTCATCCTCAAAGGCCAACACTCTTTATTTCCAGTAACTTCTAGGGTACCTCAAGGTTCTATACTTGGTCCTGTTTCGTTTTTTATCTACATTAATGATTTTCTTGACAACAATACATCTATAAGAGCTCTTTTTGCTGATGACTCAACTTTATACTCTTGTCTTGACAAAAAGTCTTCTCTTTTTGATTGCTTAGAATAGACATCTGATCTTGAATCTGATCTCACTTCTGTAACAGATTCGGGCTTACAATGGCTTGTAAGTTTTAACTCCAACAAAACCCAGCAAAAACATCACAGTACTGTCGACATTTTTATATTAATAAATATAAAAATGTCAACAGTTTATATTAATAAACAAGGTCCAAAAACCCATTGTAAATAGTAGTTGGACCCTCACTACCTGCTAATCTTGAGCCTCTTTTCCATCATCATAAAGTTGCATCTTTTTTTCTTTTCTACAAATGCTATTATGTTCGCTGCTTAAAGGAGCTATCATCTCTAGTTCCATCAACTAAAACTCTCGCTTGACTTGTTATACAGCAAAGTCTCATTCTTTTACTGTATCTGTCTCTGCATGCTCTAAAAACTTTTATTCATCTATTTTTTTTCCCTGCACTTCAATGCTTTATAACTCCCTTTCGTCTCCTTGTTTTCCTGACTAATACAACCTTCAACTTTTCAAGTCTTCTGTCAACTGTTTCCTTGCTCTATAACTCTATTCTTTTTTTCTGGTAACTCCCAACTTAATAGTGGTTGCTTGCAGCTTTGTTGGGAGCGAATCAGATTAAAAAAGAAATGTGTGTGTGTGTGTGCTGTTGTAGATACTACTTTAAAACATCTTTCAATAAAAAAAAACTTTGCATAACATATAGAAAATTTTTGTGAGCACAGTCTTCACCTCTTTTTTGGTGAAGACAGTGTTCATGAATCTCATGATGGCTTTTACAGACATTATCTCAAGTGCACATAATCATGTTTGATGACAACTTATTTCAATTTTACAAGCGCATTATAACACGCTGGGCAGTTTTAAATCCCTAGCCCTGCTTTATTGTCTTCACTTGGTGTACATGATTAAATAGAAATTGCATCACATGTTTTATTGCAAAAAGACATCCAAAAAGAACTGTAAAAAGAACTTTGAAACCAGGGCTGTGGAGTCGGAGTTGCGGAGTTGCAACATTTTTAGCGGAGTCAGAGTTGCTACACAAAATCGCGACTCCGACTCCAATAGTAAGACTTCTTGGTATTGCAGGTGCATGTATAAAACATTCAATTAACCTTATGTTCATACTAAACCTCAAAGAACATTTCATAAATTTGTCAAAAAAAAATTTTAACTTGTTGCATAATATTTTTTAAAGAATTCAAAGAATTTTTCAAAAATTTTGCTTTGGAGTTGGAGTCGGTGTTGTACTCAAAAAATTTCAACAACTAAAGTCGGAGTCATTACTTTTTTTTTACGACTCCACGCCCCTGTTTGAAACACAATAAGTTCTTTTTCAGATCCACAAAAGAAACAAAATCATTGCTAAATTATTAATATTTTGCCATAAAATTTAAGACTAGCTGTAATTAGCAATAATTATTAAGTGATAAAATAATTAGTATTTGGCTCTACCTTGTCTTTATCAAGACATGTCTAATTATTTTTTGTTTAAATAACAATTTAAAATGCCAAATCAACAAGCCCTAAAAGTTGTGTGTATGATTTTTATCAGAAAAAATATGAAGTTAGTTAAAACACATCGTTTTGAACCATTTCAAGATGGAAGGCTACAAAAGCTACAATTTATAGATATATGAACAGTTACAATCAAAATAAATCATTAGGTCAGAAAGCTGGAAGTAGAAGGTCTACTTTTAATACATAAAACAACCATATAAAGTAAAAGAAAATGTTTAATCATCAAAGAGGTGTGTCACTTTCAAAGGCTTGGTTGTAAGAAAAGCATAATCGAAGCAATCCTTGAATGATTTAAAAAGTCTTTTTTTTTTTAAAAAAAAAAAAAAGGGCCAGAACTGAACAGAACAGAAGCTTTGGAGTTGCCGAAAATTTGGTTGACTTCAAAATATCGAGACCAGATTTATTATTGATAATGAGTCTTACTTTGTTGAATAGCACACTGGCTAGTAATAATACATATTGTTCATATGATCGAAGTTTGACACCATACACTTTACACATACAAAGGGTGACATCAATTTACATCGCGCCTTCTGGCCATGCAATAAACCAAGAGATCTATTTAAAAGAGTGTTTACAAAAGCGCTTGCAACCTTTGATTAATAAATATTATCGAGACACAAAGTAAATCTTTTGGCCCTATTTGGCATTATCTTTCTATGCTAATTCAGTAACAAATTAGCTGAAAACCCAAATACATTTGTTCAAAAAAAGGACAATCCAGTAAACTTGCAAAAAGTTCTTGCTATCGAGGATTTTGGGGCTTAAGCAAGGATGGATGGTCTACAAATCAAGCTTTCAAACACTTCAAAACTTCAAACTGTCAAACACATCAAAACTTTGGATTTGTTATTGTGCTAGTAGATTTGACCTAAATGCTGTACAAAGTTTTTTTTTTTAGTTTTTTTTTTTATTTTACTTCACCTCCTCAAGGTCGAGAAGGCCACTACAAACGAGGAGGCTACTTATTTTGTGGCTATAACCCTCTCTCAATTCTATAACTCCGAAACACGAACCTTGACGAACAAGGCCGCTGCGCGGAGAAATGAGTTGAGCGCGGTACTACCAGGGACGTGGTGGGGATAACAAGTTTGATAACAATACTAGACTTGATCATATTCGAAGGTATGGAGTCTTGTAGTAAAAAAAAATAATGGAATGGAATAAAGTGTTCTGCAAATCTTATTCCATTTACATACCAATAATCTTTTTTTATTATGTTTATTTGAGTTTTTATTTAAAATTAAAGCCAGTCTCAAATTTTATGGTAAAGGCTTCATATTGAACTAAAAAAAGAAGTTTGTCAATTAGATTTTTTCAAAAAAGGGTTATTTTGTATAACGCTTTAATAACTATTTGCCCAATCTCAATACAATCTTCTTAAAGAGTATTATCAACAGCAGGTTTATTTAGAACAAAAAGAAGAAAAGTTTTAAATATTTAAACACTCAACTCACTTTTATTATGAAATATATGTTTTTTAGAAAAAAATATTTAAAAAAATAATTTTTTCCAATCAAAACTAATTATTAAACTCTTTTTTTTTTGGAGCTATTTTCTATTATTTGAACTAAGGGGTCGACCATAAATTACGCCACGCTTAGGAGGGAGGGGGTAGGCGATTTTGTGACAATTTTTTAAAAGAGGGAGGGGGTCTCAATTTTGTGACCCAACATTTTTAATTTTTTTTTTTGAGAAGAAGTTCTTTTAATTAAAAGAGTATCTGACCAATCTACAACCCTCAGTTGATGTATCTACATGTTGATTTTAAAATTAGCTACGCCTAAATATTACTTAGTCAATGTATACACTCCGTTACAGCCTGTTAACGGTTACAGCCTGTTAACGAACTGTTACGGCTGTTTGTGCAGTGCACGTTCTGCGCTTTGAATTTATATGGTTCAAGTGCAGAACTTTTATTTAATTTGTGCACAAAAGTATGCAGCAACAAAAAAACAATCTTTGTGCAATAACTAAAAAAAAAAACTCTTCGATACCGAGAAACGAACCTGGAACCCTCGGTTTACTAGCCAGAGGCAGAATCCACTTGACCACGCTTATGTTGCTAGTTGGAAGAAAATTGTATTTATAAATTAATATTTTTGCATGTATAATATGTTTTTATTTATTATATATTATATATATATATATATAATATTTTGCATGTGTTATATATCAGAAAAATAGATTTTTAAAATTGGTATTATGTTTAGGAGAGCAATGTTAATATATACAATTTTACATGGAACTATTGGGGTGAAAAAAAACATTAAACAGACTGAAAAGTACTAATTAATTAACTCAAAAAAGCTCAGAGAATTAGACATTATTATATTTAAAATCGTTTTGTATTTTGTGAAATTTTGTACCTTCTCCCATCCTCTCTAAAAAAACTTTGGGGTCAATAAAGTGTTAAGGATGTGTTACAAGGGGGGGAGGGGGTCAAAAAATGTCAAAAACTGTGTGACGTAATTATGGACAACCCCTAAGTTATTTTGATGCACAACTATATAACATAGTTGTGCATCATGACAGTGACATATAAAGATTAGCCACTTTAAAGATAAAATTGTTAGGTAGATTAATAATATAAATAAAAAACAACATAAAACCAATGATGGAACTTTGCGGTTAAATGTCATTATTAGGCAACATTCTTCTTTAGTTCTAGGAGCTTCTTAGAACTCCAGATGCTACTTAAACTGAAGAAGTGTGTTGACCATTAATGAAAAACTTTAATGCTCTGGTTATAAAAGAAAGATTCAATAATTTTAAAGAGTACTCCAGATAGACTTTATGAAAAGAGCTTATGGAAAAGACCGGTAAACCAGACTTAATCTTTGTTATGTTTAGAGAAATTGCTTTTACCTCACTTTTATCCATCTATTGCAGGATAGAATATTATTAAAAAGTCTAAATTTTATTTATTTTAAGTTTTAAATTTATTGTTTTATAAAAAATATATTTCTTGTCATACTAAATTTTGTTACCATAGTTTCTTTGACAAGAGAAGCACCACCTATTGTAAATCAGAAAATAATAAGCAACGAAAGTACTGCAGTTGTTGGTATAAATTTGTTTATTTGTTTGTTTTTTTGTTGCTTATTTTTTGATGTTACATGCTTTTTAAAAATTAATTTTTTTTTTTTATTTTTATTTGTTTTAGCAAGTGATAAAATTGCATTGCTTATTGGAAACCGGATGTACAGACACCGTAGTACACTCTGCAATCCAAGCAAAGACGTTGAAGCATTGACTATCGCTTTAAGAGAACTTGGGTTCAAAGTTTTATCTTTAGTTGATTTAAATCTAACAGAGATGCGCACTGTAATGCTATCATTTTGCAAGTTACTTGGCCCTGGCGTATTTGCAGTGTTTTATTTTGCTGGTCATGGGTTTGAAGAAAATGGTGAAAATTTTCTAATACCAGTTGATGCTTCGCCATATTCTCGCAGAGATGAGTTTATAGCAGCTCAAGAGGTTTTGCGCGAAATGCAACTTAGAGAAACAGCATTGAATTTATGCATTATAGATGCATGTCGAGTGATAGGGAATGAGTATGTACACATTCTACATTTTATAAATAGTAACATTTTAAAGTGAATTATCAGCAAGTTTTATAAAATTATTACATCTAATGGAACTTTTTAGGCTAAATAATTCAGACGCGTCTCGTTCTTGTAGACTTGGTCATGGTTCTTCTGGGAATACTATAGTGGCTTACTCTTGGTAATAAATGTTTTTAAATTTTTGATACTATTCTAAGATATAGTTTTGTATGCATGAAATAATACAAAAGAAAGTTTTATCAATTATTTAAATTATTTTGTTTCTCAAACTTAAGCCAGCCTGCGACTCAAGCTTATGAAATTGTTGGTGAAGAAAATGGTGTTTATATGACAGAGCTTTTGAAGCATATTAAAAGAGACTGTAGAATTGAGCACATACTAATGGATGTCAATACCGGTATTATTAATTTCACAGTTTGTTCAGTTTTCACTTAGTTAATTTTTTATTTAATCAAAAAAAAAAATTATTTGTAACTGGTAGTCTAAATACTGCTGCATTCTGTTAGTCTAAATATTGATTTCTATCACTGAGTTGCTATAAAATTTTTTTTTTAAGCTGTTAATAGGAACCCTATAATTACGCAAA